ATGAAATTTCACGGGGTTGAGTGTATATAAATTATTTTGTATAATATTATTATTAATATTTAATTAAATATAAAATTCTGTATCTATCTATAAAATATCTGATTTTTGAACATTAAAACTTAAAATTTGATTTTTGGAACTTGGATCTTGAAAAGTAGGGCCCCATGTAATTTCCACTTTATTAATACCTAGAAATAAGAAATAAAAATCGAAAAGAATAAATGTCCCTACTTTGAACAAGACATTAAATTCTACTACATCAATAAATAATTTAATTGATAGTAGGATTCAACTTAAATCTTTCATATGATGGAAAATTTGGGTTCGAATTCTGAGAGATGCGTCAGAAAGCCGTGAGGGGTAAAATGGACCTACACTCTCCCGTACAATATGATAACAGCTCCAGCGCAAGGTTAGATCGTTACACCGTGTTTGGCAAAAAAAGAAAAGTACTCAATCGAGGCCGGATGTACCCGTCCCTATTAGAAGGTAGTAAGAATAATTATTGTCGAATTTGTTGTCAAAAAATTTAAATAAAAAAATAACACACACTTTTAAGATTGACCTTGTTTCTACGGTTAAAACTGGTTCAAAATTTTCTATTATTTTACCTAAGGGTTTTTCTCAACAACTATCCAATCCGATCTTGTTCTTAGTTCTTATAGAAATTTTATAAATACAACGTATTACTTGTTAATGTGAATGAAATTTGATCCGGGATGGATCAATATTTAGAGGTATTTAATTAACCCTCATATTGGCTTTGTGATAATTAAATACAATGCCTCTAGCATATATCAACTTTTTATATCGATTGGCATAGACTTTATCGTGTCGATTCCATTAGAGAGGATAAAATTAGCCAAAAAGTAAAAATAAATAAATATTATAATTTTCCTTCCTTTTCTTAATATTGTTAGAACGAACCCCCCAACTTTAATATTCCAAACACGCCATTAGAAAATTGATGCTAATTGAAGATGGATAATCAATTTGTTCTTCTAATATTCTTCCTTCAATTCAAGTTGCATCATCATGAAATCTATGAAATTGAAAAACAAATTGAAAATGTCTAAATCAATAAAATTGTTTGATCCATACTTGTACAATGGATCGAGTCGAGTCTGAGTGCTATACAATGCAACATACACGAGATAAAACCCATAAAAACCAAACAAAGAAGTGTAACATATTTCCTAGTCATGAACAATTGAATGAATTAGGATAGAAGCCTCATCTGTTGCAGGAGCTGCAACATCTGTTCGACGAACAAAATTAAAACATTGTCAACATCATTAGAATTCAACATCCAAATTTTGAGAAAAGAAAAGGGTATCCATAACCTTAATACCTGCAAGAGATGTGGGCAAGTGAGAGACAAGACTATCAATTACACCACGTTTTTCTTCAACTTTCTCCTTTTCTTCACCTTCTCCTTCACTTTGATGAAAGATGCTGGACACTAGATTCTTAACAAACCCACCGCCACCGCCGCCAAGATCCTCACCTGACTCGTCTTTGAATCCAAGATCACCACACTTTTCCTTACTATCCATATCCCCTCTCAATCTTGGACTACTCTTGGGTGAAATTAAATTGGAAATAAAATTACTCACAACACCACGTTCTTCTTCTTCTTCTTCGTTGGGATTGGAAACCAAATTTTTCAACACCCCACCTGTTGATTCCACACTCTCCTTTTCTTCATTTTCAGAGAAAACCAAATCTTTAATTTCTGTCACTGCTTCGTCCATAATTTATCACTATGAATGATTTTCTACAAGGGTTTTTGTGAAAGGAGAGAGACGGACAGACAGACGTCCTAGGTTTATGCCACGTACCTGTCCATTGTCTTATGAGAGACACGCACGTGATTCGCTCTCAATTCGATGCCATATAAACAAATAAATAGGTCGGCTGTTTATTTTGTTTT